TCTTGAATGACAAACACATGGATTTTGTGAGGGACGGTTGTTGGTTTGCTGTGGCAGTGGTTGGTTGCAACAGTGTTGTGGCTGTGGTGGTTAGATGAAGACTTGAATTTTCTTTTTCTTTTTATTCCTTTCCTTCTTTTTTATTTCGTGTTTTCTTCTTTTTTAAGCTCAAGGGCAAATTTTTTACACACTCATAGTTTGACAGAAACCGTCAGTAGGGACTATAGGCGTCAACAATTAAAGGGTGCGGATAATTTTGTCAAGAAATACTGGTTGGGTACAAAAGTGTAGAAGGCGGTAAAGATTAGAGACGTCGGCTGCAATTCTCTCAAAATACACTTCACATCTTTTGAAGGAAAAATGAATTCAAACTATTGTATCCTCAACGTGTTAAGCTTTTAGATGTGGTGATTTAGTAGAATGTGCATTTCCACAAGGTCCACTTGTGCCGCTGTACTCTTGGAAGAGGTTTCTGAGTCCGTGACAGGGGACAGCATTGTTGCACTTTTGTTGCTAAACCTTCCCCCTTGACAGCTTTGTTTCACTTCTGTAGCTAAACTTTCTGCTTTCCTATAAACATTAAAGAAGCTCTCTTGGTAATACAGTTTTTACACACGAGAACCAAAATGAAAGGCATCTAGCAGAATGGATTTTTACCAACATAACTAGTCAGCAATGCTAGCTCGATAAGTGGTACATGAAGAAATAAATCTCAACACATGCTGGGGGTGGATGGGGCAAAGAATTAAATTATTCATTTTTTAGCTTCTTTCTGTTTCTGAGGATCTTCAGCAGGGACGACTTGATAAAAATCAAAGATTTGAAGATCTTTGGTATCTTTCTTAACTCGATCCAATGAGGGTTTTTATGAAAATTTATCTTCGAGAAATTGTTGCAAAGCTATCTAGCATCAATAGTCGGTACAGTCTGCATCTAGAACAGATAGATTAATTTTCCTTTTTCGATGCCTAATGGATGCGTGATGGTTCTTTGAAATTATCAGTTATAATTTTACTAGTTGTAAATATGCTTTTTTTTTTAATAGAAAAGTTTATTGTGTTTGGTTTGATGAAATAATTTCAGTGTTACAAGGATATGAAGTCAAAGGCTGCGGTTGATCGGTGTTGTCACTGGTGCGCCCCTCAGTTGTCTCTGAAATTACAGTTTTCCAACAGAAATGTGAACTTGCAGGTTGCCTCTCCAAGAGTTTAAGAAACTTGTGCACATCGTCTTGGAGCCCTGTTGTTTCTGAGCATACTTTAGTGCTAGACTTCTATGACTGTTGCTGCTGTCAATGTAGTTTTTTTTTTTGGTGTGCTGTCAATGTAGTTCCTGTTTAAATTGACCTTTGGTCCATTTCCAAATTAAGAGTATGACTTTGATTATTAAATGTTTGTGATGGTACTCAGGACTTGTGTCATGAAAGACAATTTGTGGGAATCTCTCTCGATCTTATTTTTTCAATAGTTAAACACGATTTTGACACAAAATTCTATTTTATTATGCAACTCAACGGAGGTTATACACAAATTCATTGTGAAGTATTGGTTTACGCACACCCTAATTAAGATCTTTATATTGGGGCTCTTTTTCTATTGTTTCTTTCCGTCAAGTGATCTTCCCAAGAATATTTATATTCGTTCTCGTGCATTACAACCAAGGCAGTTTAATCTACGCAAGCGAGGTGGCTGATGGGTTAAGATTAATAAGATATTTTAGTTATTTAGCATTATTACATGTTATGCTTCGTCTAAGGTGTCTAAATTACGATTTTCTTGAAGTTATATACTTGAAAGTTGGGTGTCAACACCCTCTCCCTGAAGGTTGACTGAGGGAAAGGAGGTTTATTAGTGAATTCTTGAAATACAAGTATCCCAATAAAGGTTGAATGAAGTGAGTTACTTATATTATTTGTTACGAGGAACATGCTTAACAAATCCCACATTGGTTGGGATAAAAGTAAGGAAAGAAGAAAGGCTCGGGGTCAGCGAGAGGGTAGGGATTGAGAGAAATGAAGAAACATGCGAATTCTTAGATTTATACCTATTTAACAGAAATTACAAGATTTTTAGGTTGAATCTTTACTTTCCTTGGTTGGCATTCCACTTTGTGGGTCATTTGGAGATTCATGTCTTTTGAAGGTAAGAGTCATGGAGTCTTCTCTATTGCGATTTTTAGTATTTGTGAAATTTCGAAGAGTTTGGATTTTGTTTATGATATAAATCTGTATGGCAAGCAATTTGTCTCTAGGGGTTTGATTGTTTTACCTTTGAGAATACCTTTGAGAATTATTACAATTATGACTGAATCAAATGGATTCACGAAAAGGGCAAACACCCAATTTGTTGAGAATAAGGCTTTAGTAGAGGTTAAGATCCCAATTCCAAACTTATGATACTGTAATGTGGAGTTTGATGCATTAATTTGAAGCTTACGCTGCACAGTTCATGAAAAATCATATCTTGTTGCTTTCGGAACATGGAATTCACTCTGAAAATGCTTTAATAATATTTTACCAAGCATTCATTCGTTGTGTTGTGAAGAACTCAAAGTATTCAGATGTAGTTATAAATAACCTTGAAGACTCTGGATACACAGCTCCGCCCATGTTTGGCGTCATGCGATGGTTTTTGTGCAGGGGCAACCTCCCAACACGCTCATCTAAACAATTTGTTAAGTCCAAGAATAGCAAAGAAGTTGAGAAGCATGAAAATGCGTTAAAATCTGATGATGCAAAAGTGAAAGTTGTAGAATCTCATAGAGTGGTGGCCAGTTTAATGAGTTTAGATTCACTGTTAGAAGATATTAATGCAAAAGATAGAAGTTTGGCTTCTTATTTTTGAAGCGCGTCTTTTAATTCCATTTTTTGTCTTGCAAGTTTGATGTTTGAAGGCACAATCATGAATCATTAAGTCAATTCTGTTCACCATATTTTCTGCATTGATTTTTAAGTGTTAAAAAATGGGGATTCATATTATGATTTTGGGATCAGAAAGGTTTTACCATGAAAAATGTATGAATTAATTGAAAATTTTGAACATTTTCTAATAAATAGATCATGTATTTTATAATTGGGAAAGGGGAAAGATAAAAGAATGTGAACAAAAGACAATCCAAACCAAGATAGGAAACACAGACGAGAAGCTTAAAAACTGCATAGACCACATTGAAGAGTTGGATGTTCATGTTTGTTCAAGACGACTTGAATGTTTTCGATTGGTGTTTTGTCACTTCACTTTTTAATGAAAGTGATATTATGTCATTTTTTTTAATTAAAAAGTGACATTACACTTAACTTTTATTAAAAAGTGATACAATGTCACTTTTATTAAAAAGTGATACAATTCACCCAAAAATGTGATCGGAGTTCCGTCACTTTTTTGAGTTTTTATCATTTTTTAAAATTTTCGTCACTTTCTTGAATTGATTCCAAAGTTTTGATTGGTGTTTTGTCACTTTTTTTAGTCGTCACTTTTTTCAAATTTCTGTCACTTTATTAAACTGAATCTAATGTTTTGATTAGTGTTTTGCCACTTTTTGAATGTTTCACTTTTTTGGAATTTTTGTGTCTTCTTTCCTCTTACTTTCTAAAAAATTTTGTCACTTTTTTAGTAACAAACATCACTTTTTAATAAAAGTGAGATTGTATGTCATTTTTTAATAGAAAAGTAATACTTAGCATTAGAAATCGACATTGTGTCAATAAAAAAAGTGACACCGTATTTTTTACTTCCATAATACTTTTCATATGATTTTTCAAAAGGCTCCTAATTTTAAGAGTATTTTTGTAAGTTGCTATTTTCTTAATTATTGAGTGGATCCATTTTAAAAGTGACCCACGAATTGTTGGTTTGAACGTTTGGGCTCATTGTGTTTGGCCCAAATATTTGTCCCTTTCCAAAATAATTTATTGAGGCCCATTATTTAGATCTAAATTTTAACGATAAGAATGGCTCAAGATGATTTCCTGTCATTACTCAGGAGCATGTAAGTTGCAGCTTTGGTACTTGGAAATATCATCAGCTTTGGAAGTTGGAACAGAGCTTGCTTTCAATTGCACGTAACGGATTTGTGGTATCTTATACTATGTAAGTAGTACGTAGTAGGAGAGGTTCCTGCTGTTTTTTTGGGTCAAGAGAATGGCCATTTTGTGAAAACATAAAGCTCATGTTTGAAGTACATTAAAATTTTCATTCTCATTCTTCTACTTATTTTTAACCTCACATTTTTCAATAAAATAATATTTTTTATCACGTCGATAACTTTTCCTTCTTTTTCAACCACACATTATCCATCAATCAACTATTCCAAAATACATTCTTCCAAAATAATGAATTGGGCTTCATTCTATTTCGTCTTGAGCCTTATAATGCAAGCCCAACTATTTTGAGCATTCTACTCTTTCAATGTATGCAGAACCACAAGAGAAATTATCTCTTAAGCACCGTTATTTGGCTTATTTTAAGCAGTAGCGACATGATACTACAATTAATTGATGGATAAGTTCATGATAGATTTTAGGAATTAAATTAGATTGGTTTAATTGCATCACACGGAATATGATGAAGCAAAATGCTACGGATGCCTATAGATCATTTAGAAAAAAAATACATAACTGACGATCGAGATGGCATTATGACAAGTTTGGATATATGCCGAAGACATAAAATGTCGGTGAGATATATTTGTATGTAAAAAATGTAGGAATTCTAAATTAAAGAAAAGTAGTGTTAATATATGTAAGAAACTTATTTATTTATTTATTGGGATATCAAGGCCAAATTAAAGTTTGCATTCCATTATATGGTAGCCAACTTAGCTATTGCGCACAGAGACTGTGTCATAAAATATTTTGATGACTGCTTTCTTCTCCAAGAACTTAATCTAAATTAAAATAAAATAAAAACTTACTTCATAATAATAAGCTTTTAACAAATGTAGCATTGCAGCCTCAAATGACCACAAAGTATTGCAGCATTTCACTTCATATCAACCACTTTTCACTCCTCAGCCTTCTCAACAGTTACGTCTGTGGCAGCCTCCTTCTCCACCTCCTCGCCGCCTTCCTCAGCTGCTGCACTGGTAGCTTCAGGGGTTTCTTCCTCAACTGCAGCCTCTATCTTCACCTCTTCAGCTTCTTCTTCCTCTTCCACTTCCTCTGTTACAGGCTCTTCTGTTGAAGCCACCACCTCTGCAGCAGGCTCTGGTGCAGCTGCCTCAATGGAGTCTTCTACTGGAACCATTGTCTCTTTCTCAGCAGGTTCTGGTGCAGCATCTTCAGTTGCTTCTTTTACTTCCTCGGTGGCTGGTGCATTTACCTCTTCTTTTGGCTTCTCTGGGGTGGTGATTACCTCCTCGGTTTTAACCTTTTCTACTATTGTTGCAGGAACTGATTCAACCTGTAGGGATAAACTTTCAGTCTTAATGCATGAAGTGTAAATATAACATCAAATTAAATTCAATACAGGTATAACACTACTAAAAACGCAGCAGCATCGGCAGAAAATCAACAATGGAAATTATTACGGTCTTATGTTCAAATTCGGAGAAAGATTTATAGTAAATATATATTGATGTAAATGAAAATTAATTAGAAAATGAAGAGAAGTATATATTGATACCTCAACTGCGGCCATCTTTTAAAATTTAAAGATCGAAAGAGTAGATGATGAGAGACTATAAATTTGGAAAGGGGTATTGCTTGTGAGTTTGATGAAGAGAAATGATCAATTTGATAGCTATTTATAGAGAGGTTGTTGTGCAAACATGAACAAAAAAATTGAAAAGAAGAATAACAATTAAGATCGACACACAGAAACTTAGGTTTGACAACGTGCTTACGTATTTTGCTTTCACATATTTTTAACCAGAAATGATATGGCTCGAGAGGGGAGAGGAAATATTCCTTTTTTTTTAGGGTACTCCGATGAACATATCCAATGGAAAGGGGTTGGGACATGTAGCTCAAAGGATTATGCACGTGGCTACGAACCACTGCGTTAGATGTTCAAATCCCTCCTCAACCAGCCAAAGGGAAGTACCTTTCTCTCTATAGGTAGGAAATTCATGATCGGTCCGAATAATTCACCAAATTCAAATAGTTTTAAACAAGGTTGTTCATATATAGAACCTAATTTCCAAATTATCCTTACAATACTGTACATTAATACGACCTCTCATATCTCTACGTGCATGTGATACACAATATATACTCACTCGATAGAATTATAGAATGGTTTAGTACTGAACATGATCCATGTCTTGTTGTAAATGTTTTTACTTTACAGAATCCTATGAAATCTCNGTTTTTACTTTACAGAATCCTATGAGATCTCTTGAATGAGGTCTATCTTTATGAATGTGAAATGGCACATGGGTGGAGGCCATTTCACTTTCTTGATTGGCTTACTCTGTGTTTTGTGTAGTAGGGTTTGTAGGTGACTGGTATCATCATGCTTTCATGTTCCTAGACACTATGTTATTCTTTTCAAATAATGAATGATGTTATATGCATATGTTCGTCAAACTGTGTGCAACTAAGGGAGCGTGATAGAAAAATCAATTTGTATCAAATTTTAATATGATAACAAGCTCAAGTTAAGTCTAAAATTGTAGATCATCTATAAATAACTATTATACTAATTCAAAGTTCATGCACGTAACCAATTATCATTGTCTATTGAAAATCTAGTTTTGATAATCAGAAGCAGTCTAAGACGGTTAAAACTTTTTACAAGTTTGTCTCCTAAGGCCGATTAGTTGGTTCTCATCCTTCATAGACTATGAGTGTAATAGGGAATCAAGAGTTCAAGAGCACATAACAG